TATGTAAAATTTTGTATAATTACATTTTAATTCAAATGTATCAAGTTGGTGTATCACGCTTAATGAGATGACCAATATTTATGAAATCAATTAGAGCAAATTTTTTGGGCATTTTCAAGCAATCAATCTAAAAATTTTGGTCTGCAAAAAGAAAATAAAAAAATAAATAAAAAATAAAATAAATAAAATAAATAAATAAAATAAAAATAAATAAATAAATAAAATTATTTATTTCTTATATATCATTAAAAAAAAAGTAACAAAATAGTATGATAAAAAAAATTTTTTTTTATTTGATGAATATGCTACAATAGAAGTTTTATTTATTAAATTATAGCACAATGATCAGTTTATGAAATTATAATAAAGTACATAAAATAAGTAGTGAAAATATTTAAAGGCATACTTTATTTTTCAGTATGATACCCATTGAAACAATTTTAATAATTATTATAACATAGAGGCATATTACATTTTATGCACCAAACCTGACTTTGATGAGGAGTTTTATGGTTCATTTTAAATTTTTTTTTGTTTGCTAACCAAGCATACTACAGACATCTTGCATATTCTTCTCTCCATTCTGTCAAGTGATGTCTTGGCACTAACTGTTAGTCTGAAAGTTTAAATTTTTTTGTAACTTTTGGCTATTTTATTTTTGAATCTTTTTTTGTTTTTTTTTTTACTCTTAATTGAACCTTACCAGTAACATTACTTGTAAATTTGATAAGGCCCCACACCAGCTCAAGCTGGAATTCCTTATACCCTTGTTTAGATTCTAAAGTTTGAGTAATCAGATATGCATTGATAATTGCTATATCCAGCAACCAAAAAAAAAGTAGTATTCAATTTCATCGCATTGTTTGCTGGGTGTTGTAATAGAATTACAATTGATTAGTACATCTATACCATTCATATTGTTGTTGTAATCATCAATTATTTTTTGGATTTTTAATGATTTTCTTAATTTCAACCCAAATATTGTATGTATCTTTTTTGCATTTATACTAGTTTCTCTTGGTCAATACCTTATCTGTTCAACTTTCTTTTGTTTACTTACAAGTCAATGAATTGTTATTAGCATTGTTACTAGCCCATTATCTTGCTAGAAGGCAGCCAAGACACTATCTACAACAAGTTTAGAACAAACATTCTAATCAAATTTAGTATTTTTATTTATTTTTTATTCTTTAGGAAACCCAGAGATCATTTTACAAACAGTACTACAAGCTTCAACATAAATCTGCCAGAGATGCTAAAAAAGAGGCATGCTGGTAAAGTAATTGTCTATGTAAACATTGTACAGAACATAATAATATGAAAGCTGCTCTACTAGATGAATGACTAGACACCCAATTTGGTTTAGGCCATTTACTTTTACTATATTACTTGTAGATATATGTGATGTCATTAAGAAAGAGTAAGTGTATCTGGATTTACATAATAAGAAAATTTTGAAACCTTCAAAGATAGGCTTGTTCTTAATTTGAACTGTATGAACACTTTTTCCAGAAAACCAAATCATTATTTCATCTACAAAAATGTTTATTTCTAGTACATAATATCATTTTGAAGCATTCTGAACATATGAAAGCAATAGCTGTACTTTATTAAAATAATTTTTAGTTGTTAAGAAGGAGAGAAAACATACAGAAACCTCTTTATTTGTTCAAAATATATTAAAGACATTTTCTTTGAAATATGGTAAATGGGAAGTTTCTGATTTTCATTCTAGAACAAGTTAAGAGAAGGTACTTTAAAAGTTCATGATAGACAATAAGAGCTATCCAGATAACAAGCTCTTCATGTTTTACATCCAGCCAACTCTTACCAGAGACACTGGCATCTTTTGATGATGCATATAAATTTGTATTGGTGATTATTGTTTCTAATACTGCATTTGTAAAAAAAAAAAAAAAATCAATCACTTTGAAAACAGTAACATCAAAGTGTGGTGACAACCTAACATTTGTCCTGTATAAACTTTAGTAAACAAGCAGTTCAAAGTCTAAAGGTGGTGGTGGAAGTATGGTTTCTGCTAATTTATATTTTTTTTAAAAACACTAACAGCATCTATTTCTGCAGTATTCTGGTCATCATCATTATCATCTGAATCTGGATCATCAAGAGAATGCTGATGGAATGTTAAAATTAGTAAGTATTCTTTATCAGCAAATTCTTTTGCACTTTCAAAAGGAGACAAAAATGATGAACTCAAAGATGATAAACCTAAAAATAACAAACTCAATGATAAAAAATCTAAAGACAATTCTTTGGCTTTACATTTGAACATTATAGTGGGAATTTTTTTTATACATATTGTGTTTATTATTTTTAAATCAATGATGCATAATAAATTTTGAAGTTACTGTAAAAAGAAAATTATAGATAATCAATCATACGATGAATTTTCATTTAAGCTTAGTAATAGGAAAGACAAAGCTTAATAAAATCGAAGACAATTATATAAAAATAATATAAAAAAAATTTTAACAGTCAAATTTGTCTGTATTACAGTTTAAAGAATAGTATAAGTCTGGATTATATAATATATTGTGAGCTGATTTTTGTAATGCTTCTTAATGTTTGATGATAAAATGAGATTCAAGAAAGTAGAAAATTCTTTTAGTTTATTAAAAAAGAAATTACATCAATCTGTTACTTCATCAAATCTTAATTTAACTAATTTGTAAACTTGGACCCAAAAACCAGATAGTATAATTTTTCTTGGTTTTTACATACAATGACCATTTTTTATTTTGTAATACATGTTACAAAGTCTTAGGGGTTTTAGTATTTCTATATTAAAAAACTGTTTCACAATTCAAATAGTTATATGACTAAGTATTATGTAAAAGTATGTATCCTATACATACTAGTTTTTTTTTACATATATTACTGTAAATATTTTCTTTATTCTTTATGATTGTAAAAAAAAAAAAAGACATGCATTTTTTTTATTCATATCTATTTTATATCAATTCTATTATTATATTATTTGTACAAGATTTAATTTTAATATTCAGCTCCAATATCATATATCTAACTTTATTTTATGAATTAACAACTCCCATTTACTAGGAACTTCTACATGCATTCGACTACAACAATTACAAAATAATCTCTAATCAACTACCAATATATTACAACATTCCCAACCTAATATTGACAAACCTAATAAATATACCTTAAACTTTAAAATTATCCAACTTATTATACATATTAACATGTCTATAACAGCTAATCACAATATATCTTGGCCAAATATTATACAATACAACCTTCAAGCACTAAAACCAATTGTGTCCATCTACCCTCAATAACTACTTTCAAAAAACAACTTAGAAAACTTAACATCTTGTATCTTGAACAACTTTGCATTGCAGATAATACTACATTACTCCAATGGAATCATCTCTCACCTCACTTAGTACAGCTACCTAAAGGATATAAACCATTCTGGTTTACATGTCTAAAAAACACTGTAACTACTAACAACAGCTCTAGAATATTACTTCCACAATATCAACAAACTAGACACAATCTTTTTGCTTACAATTCTCAACACATTTCTAAAAAACTCAAACTTTAGTTACTAACATACAATAATAATATTATTATTATTGGCAAAATTCACAGATACTTCAAACATTACAACCAAATATCTATTATATACTGGAATACAAATATTGATACAGAACTTTCTACCCATTACTCTCTTCTATCAATTCAATATTCAGTTTGTATAGGTTGTGATCTTAACTCTTATCGAGTTGCAAATCACTGTACAATTAATATATTATCAATAATTTCTACACAATTTCTTGGAAGAGTTTCTTCTAATACACTTAACTTTAATGCAAACTATATTGATCTGATCCATTCAACTGTGATTAAACATCCATTATCTCTACCTTTTGCCCCTACTATCTATATTTCTGACTCTCCCATATCAGAAATTTTTAAGTAAGAAGAAGCTACATATATACTCGAACAATATTCTCTTACCAATACAGCACAAAATATATTTAACTTCTATACTGATGGCTCTGTAATTGACATCAGTACAGATCAATGTACAATAGGTATTGAATGGGTACAAGCTAATGACTCCAACTAAATAATTCACAAATTCTCAACTAAAATCCATTTTTGGCTATCTTCTTACAAAGCTAAACTAATGTCAATTCTTTTAGCTATTTCAATAAACCCTTACAATTCTGCAATCAACATTTACACTGATTCTCAATCAATAATTACTAAATACTCTAAAATAAATACTACTCTCTCAAATTCTAACAAGCTTTTCAAATTTAGCTCATGGCCCATATGGCATACCCTGCTTAATATCATCAAATCTTATAATCATCAAATTTATTTTTATAAAATACAAGCCCATTCTGATAACACTCTTAATAATTTAGCAGACTCATTTGCAAAACAACATAATTCATCACATTCACTATATTTTAACTACACAAGCATTTAGGAGTTGGGCTCCATAGCTTTATTGTTAAGCTGCCAACTCCCCACAGATGAGGTCAACAGTTCAAGTCAGGTTGGAGGCAAAATTTAAGGATTTTAACTCTGTAACCTAATATAGAAGCAAAATTGGATGCAAAGCCCTGTAATAAATCCCAAGGTGAAGTACAAGGATGGATTAGGAATTCCCAGAAGGAGATTGACTTTGTAGAGAGAAGGCACTACATGTGACAGCAGTGTTACAGAAGGTTCTATTACTAAAAATGTTGCATGAGTAAGTCCTATCGAGACGAGGCAGCACCAACATCTTTGTATCCAACTTGCAGAGACTTGATTGGAAGGGTAATATTAATGTAGTTAAAACTAGAGTAGTGAGCAAAGTAGTGTATACAAAAAAGATCTGTGACAAAGAATTGGTCTAACCAAAATTGGAACATCTTAGGCAGGTACTATAAACCCTTAAAAAGCAAAACCATAGTCATACATCACAACATCATTGATGGTTACCATACTCGTACATAATAAGCTAAGGTTCCAGGTCCCCTTACAATACCAAATTGGAAGTACAATAGTACTACAACTATGGGAGTACACAAAAAAGACTATGTGGTAGCTGCAGATGATAATCCAGAATCTTGATAAATTCAGTCATGTCGATCAGTACCAATACATGGAGGGCTGTGTATACTAAATTAGTAGCAAGAAGAGCAAAAAATCACTGGAGTCAACCAATTTGAGAGAAGAGATGGGTTACTGCAAGACGTAGATAGGGGGATTATAGTTAGATAGAATTAGGGAATATAGTACTACAAGGTGGCTACAACCTTACCTTAATTAGTAACAATAGTTGAAACACTATAGTACTAGTCTTAATTTAGATATAATGTCACATTGGGTATCTATATAGTAATATAGTAGCACAAATAAAATGTAATAACTCTAATGTATTAATCTAGTATTAATTAAATAAAGTATTACAATTGGCATTATAAAAAAAATAAATTATCTCATATAGTTAATAATATAATATTTTATTATAAAATAAATTTAATTAAATTTAATAATAGAAATAAATATAAATTTAGACTTATAGTCTAGAAAAAACCCAATAGAAAAAAACCCTAAATAAACATATATAATATAATCGATTCCGGGTTTTATTTTCGTTCGTTATACTGTACACATAAAGGGTACATAGTACTGATCACATTAAATATTGAAACAGTATTTTAGATAATATACGCTTACGAGTACACAAGTTATCGCACAATATAAAGTGTGAAAAATGGCATGTGAAAAATAGGCAACGCATAACAATATGTGACGAACATATACATGCGGACCAATCAAATACTGAGAATTGTACAGACACATTAACTTGCCCGTAAACAATACACTACATACTTTGTTCCTGGTATATACATTTATTTATTAAATATCATTTAGCTAATTTGGTTAAATTTGTATATAACAATAATTTTGGCACAATCCATATAATCAAACCTATTTTTGTATCACGATTATTTTACAGATCGTTACAACGAAAATAACAAAATATAGTATCGGTCAAACGGTCGGTTCAGTCGGTCAGGATTTGTGACCGAACTGGTATCGGTCACGGTCATGATCGAACTGTTGACATCCCTAATTTAGATTATATAAAAAATAATCTACTATACCCACTACTTTAATTAATTAAAAAAAAGGTTTTAAAAAATTTTTATTTGTTAAAAAATAATAAAATAAGTTATAAAAAATATTTATATAGTGCTCCAAGTCACTTCGCATTAAATGCGCCAGATTCAAGGTACTATATATATAAATACTTCTTAGCCAATCAGAATACGTTATAGACTAATTCTAATTGGATAAAAAAAAAATCAAAAAAAAATTTAAAATTTTTTTGTATTAAATGCCAAAATTTCGAAAACTTAATAACTTTAAACACTTATAACTTTAAATCTTAAATTTTTTTAAAAAATTCTAACCGATAATTTGGATAGAACTAATGAAAAACAATAATTTTTATCGGTTACATTTTTAAAAAATATTTATAACTTAAGGTTTTATAGAATTTTTAAAAATACATGATTTTTAATGAGAAGTGACTTGGATCACCATAATAATAAAATAATTTATTTAAAAAATTTATAATAATAATGTGATTATATAGAAGGAGTTTATATAAGTGATAAATAAAAATTGTGATAGTGACTATATTATAAATGTGCTTACTATATAAGAGGTGACTATATAGATTAGTCTGTATATACGCTGAAAATTCAATATATTATTATGATTGATTTCCTCACACTACTTTCATTATCTTCGATACAAACGTTATTCTTAAAAATAATTTCGTCTACAGTTATGTATTCAAAGACTATTGGTTGATATAACTAATAAGTTTGCTAGTATGAATCATACTATCTTCTGCAGTACTAAAACCATTATTTTCAATCGTCATTTCTTTATCAGATTTTAAAAATTCGGCCAAAATGTGAGTACTATTTTTCCAACTTAAAATAGCTTCATGAATTTCAGTGGCCGATGGTCGTTCATTCGGATTTTTATCCCAACATTTCTTCAAAAGATTTGCATAACATGTTGCTGTACCCTTAAGAATATTAGGCCTTAATTCTTTAAGACAAATTTCCATAGCTAAGTTTTGTTCATTATCTTCATAGTCGGAAAATACAATATTTCCTGAAGAAATCTCCCACATAATCATCCCAAAAGAATAAATATCGGATGCTTTAGTGAATGATTTTCCTTGTAAAACTTCTGGAGCTATATACGGTAAAGCACCAT